AGTCAAGCAAATGCTAGTGAAGAAGTGAGTGCGAGAGAGAAACGAGCACTATCAGCTGGAGGCTGGTAATAAATAGTAGCTACAAAAATGCCTTTAGCAGTGTCAGCACCAGACACGTAAACACAGCTGAAAGCGACTGAAAACTGAAGGTTGTGATGTACTGTGTACTGCCAGCAGCATGGCCTGCACTGTGCAAATGCACAGTGCCTGAAGAGTGAATCACAGARTATGCTGAGGTGGAAGGGAGCCACAAGGATCATCGAGTCCAACTCCTGACCCTGCACAGAACCGTCCCCATGAGTCACACCATGTGYCTGAGAGCACTGTCCAAACACTAATTGAGCTCTGTCAGGGCTGGAGCTGTGACCACTGCCCTGGGGAGCTGTTCCAGTGCCCAACCACCCTCTGGGTGAAAAACCTTTTTTATGGTATCTGACCTAAATCTCCCCTTCCACAATTCCAGGCTGTTCCCACTGGTCTTGYCACTGGTCAGCACAAAGATCAGTGCCTGCCCCTCCTCTTGCCCTCACAAGGCAGCTRTAACTGCAGTGAKGTGTCCTCTCAGKCTCCTCCTTTCCAGGCTGAAYAGACCAAGTGACCTCAGCCACTCCTCAGACTGCTTCCCTTCCAGACCTTTCACCRTCCTCATTGTCCTCCTTTGGACACTCTCACAGCTCAATGTCTTTTTTATATTGTGGCACCCAAAACTGCCCCCAGGACTCGAGGTGAGGCTGCCCCAGTGCAGAGCAGAGTGGGACAATCCCCTCTCCTGCCCGGCTGGTGATGCTGGGYCTGATGCCCCCCWGGACACAGTTGGGTTCATCAGTGGAGAGGAAACTATCTTTGGGGTCATTGACTGATATCTTCTGACATTCCTACTCTGCATTCAGTATTCCTTTTACAAAAGTTACCTTTTGAGATTTTTCCAAAATACATGCATTTACTATCTTAAGCTGTAAATCTGTATCTTTTGGAAAATTAACTCTGCTATTTACAACATGTCTTGCACTTGGCAAGTTGTTTAAAGAAGACAGAGTAGAAATAGAATTATGACCTGGGCAGCAAAAGAAGAGATAGTTCTTTTGTATTAAGATGGTAAAATCCCTGAGAGGTGGCATCACAAGCTTCATGACCACTTCCAACTTTTTTTAGTTTTTAATTCTACCGCATTCAGAATCTGACACTCCAATGGCAGAAACTTTTTGCCACTTGAACATGCTTTACAATACAACTCCCTGTATGAATTACTTAGTTAAGCATAAATGGTTGTGATCAGTAAAGGGGACAGACCTTTGGTCAGTGTTATTACTCAGTGCCACAACACAGAACCTGAGGTGTACCTGAGGATGTTTTATGGAAAGGTCAGATTTATTGAGACTGTAATTTAGAGGGTTTGTTGATTTCACTAATGACTGAAAAAGGTAAAGGTACACATCTGAAATGGAAGTACATCAGAGTGCGTCAGAAAACAAAACTGATGGGTTTTTCATTCAAGTTAGGAAAGCATGCCAAATTCAAGTGATTAAAAGCCTTGAGAAAACTAACTTGGGCCGGTATCCARTAAATCAATTTATCCTAATAAATTATTTTGTCACAGCAGGAGGCTAGTTTTAATTTGGAAGTACAATGCAAGTCAATTTTGTTGAAATAGAAAAGGCACAAAAAGGGAAATTACTCTCCAGATGAGATGAAATTGCTGGCTCTGCTAACTCACATGAGTAATTTTGTTGGGGACAGGATTAYGCCATGATATGCAGCTTGATCCTTGTCATATTGCTGCCTGAATCCCAAAGGGAGACTGAAAAAGGAGCATGAATTACTGTGCCTAGRATATTTACTATAATCACACAGGGATTTGGAGTTATTCAGTCTTGATACCTTTGTCATACACACATACATGCTTTTAAAAAATTACAGTGACAAAACCTTAGCTGGAGTGAAAATCGGATATTACATATTACCTTGTGTTTGGAGTATAACAAGCCAATGTCAGCAGCACATCTTTTAATGGTTCTGAGATACTGTGATAGAGGAAAGAAGTAATGAATTGGGAGTATATTAAAGCAYTGAATTATGAACAACTGGATTTAAAAGCTACATGTAAAACCCCTTTCTCTGTGTGTTTGCTTCACCTATGCCCCAATACATGTGGCTGCAACTGTGAGAGAATGCAGGAAAGTATCAGAAAGTAAAACCTAAGTTCAGTTCAGTAGATCAGAGAGCCACACTAGGAATCTCCCATTATTACTCATAATGTTTTAGCAGAAACTTGATTTCATAAAAGCCTCTGAACAGGTGGTGTTCAGAAATAGAATGATACAAACGTAGGTTGGATTTAAATTGTTTATTTTAGGCAAAAACCTCTGACATAGWATAAATTATATGGATAGTACGGCACCAGCTTCCACGTAAGGAGTTCAGGRTAACTTCACTCCTGAGCTCGTTAGGTAATTGACAGAAAAAGTCCAAATGAGTAAGTAGAAACAAGTCATGGAGCATTACTGGTTCTATCCCACAAAAGTCTGGTGATCTGACTAAACCTATGATGATCTCTTTTTGCARGTCCTTAGATGTACAGGAATTGACAGTGTTTAGAATGGATAAATAGAACAGAGATCTTGTATTTCACTCCAATCGTGCTGTCATTTGTAGTTTTCTTCCCTATCTCTCTCTGGAAAGAATATTAATTTCTTACTAGGGAAAAATACGTGTCCAAAATCTGCCATGCACTTTCCCAGTTGTTTATAATAATACTTTGCATCTTAAAAAATGTTGGCATTACCGGCCTTAAGGAAAACTTAATCCTGTTTTCAGAGATAAAAACGAATATTGTAAAGTGGAAGAATAATAGGAAACTGTTTCTGCCTACAACTGCTTTTCATAGTAACATATTTAGTGGTTTTTACAATTTATTTTGCAATTTCGTTTTACTCTTAAACTTGATTAGCCTATGTATATATCTTGAGTCCTGACCACTAGGCTGTACCCTGCATCCAATGAACAGTGTAATACTGGTTAAATAAGGGTTGTTTGAGTTAATGTTTCTGTTATATTTCTTCACCAAAATTACCATTAACAGAAAGATCAGAAAGATAATTAGTTACCTTATGAGAGAAAGGGCATTTTTTTCTCCTTCAGCTGTAGGAACAAATTTTTCATTAAAATAAAAAGGATAAATATATCAAGGTGTCAGCAAATACTTAATAGCACAAAGAAGTGTGCTATAAAAGAAACATATTCAAAGAAGCAATTGCAGTACATTTGAAAGCAATGCATATTGTATTTCTTTCTATCTTGTCATACAAGGGTAACATAATTTTCTACTTGAATTTTGTTTTATATGGGGGTTTGGAGGACAGGGGTATTGTTATTTTGGTTTGCATTTATTCATTGGTTTGGGGGTTTTATGGTATGAATTAATAGCAGAGCAAATGCAGCTGGCCAAATAAGATTAGATAGTCTCTGTTTATCACTGTATTGTTAAAGAGAATGTTGCTCTGTGGAAATTCTGGGATTCCTTTCRTGCTTAGTGCAGAATTTCTCTTTGTTCTGGGATGATAAGTGATGACTTTCTAGCAATTACTGTAAATTTTTTTTTTAGTTGTCATGTATTAGCATGGAATCTTAAATATTCACAATTAAATATAAAATTGTGGTCTTAAAAATATATTCTTAGTGATGTTATTAAACAGTTTTGAAAACAAGCTTCTCTATGACAAAAATTTGAAGTCTCTTRCTTTGAAATGTACAGACCAGAAAAGAGTTATTTGTCCATGGTTTTATTCGTTTTAACCAGCTAGTTGTGTTTTTCTTTTTATCTCTGTTAGAATCATATGCCTCTCATGCTGACCATCTTGCAGTCTGAAAATACCTGTTTAAAGCAAGCCAGTAAATGAAAGATGTCAGTGGCTAAACTTGTCCTCGCCTCACATAAGAATGTTCTCTGTGGCTTTCACATTCTTCGAGGAAATTCTTTTGTGGTGTGTCAATTAAATGTGAAGATTTTCTGGTCAATGTTACTCCACATGATGCTCTTAGTTACTGTAATGCCACTGTTCCTTAGATGTATATTCATCATCCATAGCCTGCAGTATTTTCACAATAATGAAAAACCTGCAATAAAGCAAATTATATAACAGAGTATTCCAATGGACAATAGCGGGATTTCACAATGTGACTTGCAAATTAGCAGGTTTGTTTTTTAATTGACTATGAAGTACAAATTCCAGAGTTACAGCTTCCATATTGTATTGGTGTATGTGTCTCTGCAGTTTAACCATTCTGACTTTTTTCCAAGCTTGAGCACTGATGCTTCCAAAACAATGTCTGCTCCAAAACATTGTGTGTGTTCTAGCTGAAATGCTTCTAAAATATTTCTAGGAATGTATTGTACTTTTACACTGGTAATACTGCTATTGTGGCCTATCTTTCTGCGGAACAGTATTTTTAGGTTTGGAATCTTTATTTTTAAAAAAAACACCAAACTTCAAAGCTTTTCTAGTATTCCAGGAATTATGAAAATGCTAAATGGGTTTTCCATCTGACAGAAGCAGCACAGACTCTTTGCTGGCCACAACATGTCAGCCTTTGGGCAGCTTCTTGTGTGTTCAGAGTAGGCAGATGTGTTGGAACATGTGGTTTATAGCTGAAGAATCATAATTCCAGGTACTTTATACATAGCTAATGAGCAAGTACCTTTCCTGAAGTATAGATAAGAGAAAGCTCTTCAACTAAAAATAAAATAACAAAAATATAAAATACACTACGTGTCTGATTGTGAGCGTTTCCTGTTTCTAGCATCAGTGTTCTGACAAGAAAAATTCCTCGCTCCTTCAATGACATACCTTATCATGACAAGGGGGCTTCATACAACATATGAATATACTTACATTTGCTGTTGTGTGCCTTAGGGTACCAGAAACAGCAGACATATCTGAAAGAAACTTGAATTCTCTTGYATTAATTGTATAATATTTTCCTTACTCTGGCATTTTCTACAGGACTTATTCCATCTTACAGAAGTTGATCTCAGAAAGCTGGGAATTGAAAATCAAGGCCACCAAACACGCCTCATTTCCAATATCCTGCTGCCTCAGGAGGTAAAACAAAAAAGAGGTAAGATTTCCATGTTGTATCCTAATAAAGACTAAAGAATGAGCTAAGGCAACCTGAGCTTCTTTGTCACAAAGAATGATAAAAAAATACTCATATTCAGCCTTGGATACCTCTCTGAATGCACATCACGGGGGTACTTTGCACAGACAATTAGAGGAATAGTTAAACATTAGTTTAATAAAAATTAACGATATTTTGGCATGGGTTTACAGAATAACATACCCTGAACTTTTTATAAAAGTTTTCATTTAGAAAAGGCTCCACTTTCATTTCAGTTTCTGCTGCTCTGCCCACCTTCAGCTTAACAAGACGCAGTAATGTTAACATACTATAATTGACGGAAGTCTGTGTTACAAATGCCTTCCTCATTTGAAAAGATCGTATCAGAAGGTCTAAATCAAGCTAATTTGTGTGCATCCCACCTCATCCCTGCTGAGGAGAGGTCGAGTGCTTACACAGTTCTGACTGACTCTTCTTTTCCATTAGGGATTTTGCTATGAATTAAGATTGATCATCATTTGAGGTTTTTATCAGTTCAGTGTCAAAATTCAACTCAAGTTCATGAGAATTGGAACAAGCACTGTAAGACATTCTAGTCTGAGTGGAAGGATAGAGTGAGATGTTATTCCACTCTGACTGGTACTGGATGTTTTGAGAATTGTTCACAAGATAATGATACACAAGTATCATTCRTTCTGCCCATTAATTCTTCAGATCACCGCCTTAGGCTTTTACAAATTTAATGTGAAGACGTTTGTTACTTGGCTGACAGTCCTGCTTTTACATTCTCTTGGTCAAGATAAGACTTTTGGAGCATGTGTAGAAATTGGATATTAATAAAATGTGTTTAGCTACTTAAGTTTTCAGAGGAAACTAGGACTGATTGCGTACAAGTAGGTCAGTGTATTTCCTCAATGTTTTCTGATGAGTTTAATATTGGTTTAACAATTACATAGATTCTACCACTCATAGGTTTGATTGTCTTAAAATATGGAYGTAACTATGACATTTTTGTAATCGCTACTGTAAACAGATTAGGAAATTATTTCRGTTGATGATTGCAGTGAAACTGGATGTGTTTCAATTGGTATCTGTTTTCATGTGCATTGGGACTGCATTTCATAACCTTTTCAGGTACTGGAATGTGGAATGTATTGCAGTTGTCAATGTAGCGCTCTTTTTCAGAGGAAAGGACTGTTCAAACTGTCATTCACATGGTAAATTGATTTGTAGATAGTTATGCAACATTTCAATCCACTCACCAGAATGTTCCAATTTATGATTGTTCAGCTTCAGATATGTTGAGCTACGTGAAATCTTGATGTATTGCTGATGATTTCAGTGATATGAATTTGAGTCAAAAATTTTCTTTCTAAACTGGTGTGTGTATATTTTTTTTTTGTCCTCCAGACGCAGATTTTGSAAAGCGAGAGCATGATGCCATTTGGATTTTGTTCTTTTCTTTTTGGCAGTTAATTGCTAGAACTCTTTAAGCTAAATTCTAGTAAAATAAATGCTGGATCATATTTTTATCAGCATTTATCTTAAGCAATGTTTTCATTCACTGTTGGGTTTTGGCTAATGATACTTAAATGTATAATTGAATTGCATGCTTGAGAAAAATAGAGACTCATTGATCTCCTAGTTCTGTTTACACTAGGATATTTGCATCCTCAGTAGCTTTGCCTGAGGTATTAAGGATTTCTGGGAAGGTTGGTGGGTTCAGTCAGTCATACATGAGAGTGCAGACTGGTTTATTTTCACAGTAGGGACTAATGGTTGTTATCTGGTCTCCAGCCTATGATGACATGGTTTTGTTTTGTGTCTGTCTTTGACAGAATGCTGTGTCTAGGAGCRAAGTGCCTAATCAGTGATATTGAAATGCTTGTTTTCCAGACTGAACTTTACCGTAGTCCGACATYTGAGAAAACTTTTTAAATTTTCTATTCTATTAAGCAAATGCTAATGTCCTACTAATGTACTTACTGGAACAGAGCAAAGTGCATCTTATTCTTTTTGCTGTTATTTTGAGCTTTAAACAACAGCATTGTATTGGGTGCTGGTTCAACAGTTTCCAGAAAGTGCTTCAAGTGATAAGTCTCATAATACGTGGGCATTTTCACAGGGTTAACAGGGACATTATGTTTTGGGAATTTTTCTGCAAACTTTTTCTGTTTTCTAAAATGTTATTTGGTTCTGAAACTACTTTGAAGAGGACATGTCTCAGTACACTGAGATTGGGATTCATCCTGTCTAACTCTAGCTACTTGGGCTGTGTTTCCACAGTAAATAATATCAAGATCTGTGCATTGACATAATGCCCAGCAACACATCAGAGCTGGATGAAACATGTGCACATGATCACATATCTGTTGAATTAGGCAGAGTACACAATACAAAGTTCACTAGCTTGATGCTTTTACACCATCTTTATGGCAGCCAGTGATAAATAGTGACTGGGATAACTGATTTGTAAGCAGCACTAGCTAATCAGTAGGAAAATAAGCATTCAAAATTGTTAAACCACTTCAGCCCAGCAGAATAAATTTAATAGTGGATCAGTAATTTGAATAATGGGGCCCTGTTATTTTTGACCAGTATCAGAAAACTTAAAGGCTGCTATGCTGTTGACTCTGGACCTTAACTGAAGCTGTTTCCAAAATGCCAGCCTAAGCAGTCTGTGTCCTTTYCATCTTTCCTTAGCTGCTTTTCCCCATCTTTCTATCATTCCTTTTGTTGTCTGTAAAACTATCCTGCATCTGYATGATGAACACATTGGGAAATGTGTCTAGCTGAAAAACAACCTTTTTTTCCTCTCTTCCCCATCCACATCAAGTCCCCAGGCCAATTCACTGTTCAGCTGCACCAACACTCATATAAGCGTGAATGGCCATGGAAGACACAGCAGAGCTGAGCCCTGGTGGCTGAAACAGCTCTGCTGCCTAAACTGAAACCACAGCTGAAGATGTTAAGTGGGAGGCGAGTCACTCTCTGCTCCCTCTACTATTGGMAAAGACAGATGAATTCAGCAGATAGTTCAGTTCACTACCTTTTGTAGGTGTGTATAGTTTTTGTTGATTATAGAGGTATATTTAGGGTGACTGACTTCCTGACAGATCTCTCAGCAAATGCTGACAACAGGTGGAATTAATTCAGGCTAAAAAGCTAAAACTGGAGTTGTTCTGGAATATCTAATCTCTTCTTTTGAGTGCAGCCTTACAAATTTCAAGAAAGAGTTTGCTTCTTTTTGTCTATATATTGATGGTCTCCAATATTTGCTCAGGATTTATCACTACATTTCATTTCCTTGCAAATCAAAGTATACAAGTGGAAAAGTGTTTCCAATTTCTGAAGATTTTCTTCCTAAGTGCAAAATTGTTATCAGCTCTAAACATACTTCCTACSACTGTTTCATGAACAGAAGACCATGTGGCTGTGTGTAGAGAGTCAGACTAATAGTTTCTCCAGGGTCAGCTAATAGCAAAGTAGATGTAAAGTGAAGACAYGAAAGAGCACAGCAGTCTGTAGTGATGCTTTCCTAGAATACTTTCTCAGCCTCTAAATATTTAATCTAACAAAAAATTTCAAAAAGGTATGAATGTGAAGAGGCATAAATACTCATTCCACAGTCTTCTTGCCTGTGCACTATAGCATATTCTGGGTCTTGGTGTCCTGCCATCTACACCAGTACCCATTCAYGTACTCATCACATGCTGTGACTCCTTTGAGATGTACCTTTTGTTTTCTGTTCCAGGGAAATTGTAGAGCCAAGGGGTGAGGCCTGCAACATGCCTGGGCCTATCACAGTGTGGAATCAAGATGCGCCCAAAATTTGGGTACTGGCACTTCTAGGAAAAGCAAAAAAATGTGGGCTATGTTTGTAGGAATATTCTCAGTGGCTATCTAGAACCTTTTTGAAATATTTGTTTGGCATTTTAGAAGAGCCAGGAAATTACATATCCTCTTCTAGAAGATGCTTCTTCTGGTATGACAAATTTTGGTAACAAACTAGGTGTAATCTGACCCCTGTATTACTYGGAAAGGTCTTCCTTCCCTGAGCATGGCGCATTGCACTCTGACCTGTAGCAATCAGCAATTCAAGACACATCCTGAAAGCCACAGCCCAGTACTTGTAAGGTAGCACTTCTGAAAGGAACTGGGGTTTTCTCAGTATCATCTAATACAGCTAAAGCAGAGTTCGATGCTGTGTGGGATTGGACCACAATGTTATTGAATTGTATTGTTTTCTAGTTTTTAATCTCATTTACCATATTGTGCTACAGCCTTTAGGAGTGTGAGTCTATTATGATTTCTTGTGACCCACAGTAAAACAATAAATCATCTTCAGATGTGTTGAAGGTGTTTTCAGGTGATGTGACCAGCTGCTTCAGTGGACTAGAAATGTTACCTATAGAGAGGAAAATGTAAATGTATAAATGAAAATGTCTATTTTGGTACATAAAAAAAAAGAACTTGGGTATTGCCAAACATAGAAGATATTTCTTTTTTCCCTTTAGGAACATAAATTTAAATTACAGCATTATATTTGAAAACTTTGTATGATTTGACTATTAAAATATTTGTATCCATTTGCATGTATTCATGATGTATATTTCTATACATCACTGGTTGAGTTATGACTGGAAAGAAATATAGAAGGCTGTGAGAAACTTTTTAAAGGAGGTGTTCTAAGAGCTAGAACTTGTTTATCCATTAACTTGTTTTACTAAAATGAATTCCGAATAATGACATTTTATGGCATAATGTGATTTCATTAACATTTTGGAGTGTTTTTCTCTGAGAGGCAAAAGATATAAAGARTATTCCCTTTCTGTGTTGTACAGGTCTTCTTATACAGAGAGTTTTAATAGGATATACATTTAGATCTATTATGATTTTTTTATCATACAAAGAARGTCAGTCTTCTTGGATTTAAACAAAATACGTGCATTGACATAATTGATTGTGGGTAAACATAAAATAATATGCAAAATCTGAAT